CCAACGAATTAGTTTATTCGTATTTTCTTATATATATATATATATATATATTGTTGTATAGAAGTTTACATTAAGTGACCATTGTCACTTTTCTTCTTGCAGTTAAACCATGGATGGTTTCCTTACTCTTTTAAATATGAAGTTCCAATCGGCCAACATGGCGGCTATTCTCATCAAGAATCGTCCGATGAGTCAGGCAAGGTGTCGGGATCTTATAAGGTTATTGGTGGGAAGGATAATGATCGAGTGGTGGAATACACTGCGGACGAGAATGGATTCCACGCCACAGTAAGAACTAATGATCCAGCAGTTGAAGACAAGAACCCTGCTGACGTCACTGTAATGAAAGATTCAACTTTGTTTGGCCTCAACACTCCCAATGATAATGAAGGATTTCCGGCAGTAGTGACACGACAAAATGGTAGCGCTAGGGACATTGCAAATAAAGACGCAGATGACTCATTAGAATATATTGGAAATTCAAGTTCATCATATGTCATTTATTTAAATGAAGAAGATTCTCAGTTTAAAGACAAACATCATCACGATCACGACCACAACTCTAGTGATCATTCTCATGAAGATTATGGTGGTCATGATAGTCATGAATATTATAACATGAACAATAGTCACAAAGATGATCATGATATGGACAACAGTCACGAAAATGATCGTGATATGGACAACAGTCATGAAGATGATTATGATATGGACAACAGTCATGAAGATGATTATGATATGGACAACAATCACGAAAATCGCCGTGATGAAAACTTTCGGAAACGTGACATTGGGGACACTTACAATATTTACAACTCAAACATATATCTGCACAACATATATACCGACTCAAATGAAAATTATTATACTCACCCTAAAGATCCAGAAAGTGCTACTGTTCGTTATGTCATGAAATATAACTCCAGCGATTCACTTTCTGATGATGATAATATGACAAAACAAAGTTACGTCATTTCATCTCTCAAAGACCTGTTGTTATTGACGGGATAGGAACCAACATCATGAGGAAGATCAGAAAGTGAATCGCTGGAGTTATATTTCATGACATAACGAACAGTAGCACTTTCTGGATCTTTAGGGTGAGTATAATAATTTACATTTGAGTCGGTATATATGTTGTGCAGATTTATGTTTGAGTTGTAAATATTGTAAGTGTCTCCAATGTCATGTTTTGTAGAAGGTGATAATGTGACAAAACAAAGTCCTCCTCATGATGTTGGTTCCTATCCCGTCAATAACAACAGGTCTTTGAGAGATGAAATGACGTATTCTACAATACAATCTACAAAACATGACATTGGAGACACTTACAATATTTACAACTCAACCATAAATCTGCACAACATATATACCGACTCAAATGAAAATTATTTTACTTACCCTAAAGATCAAGCTACTTTCTATTCCACCAATAGCAACAACACTTTAGAAAACGAATTGACAGATTCAACAACAGAGTCTACAGAAGCACAAAATGCTACAACAATCTACGGTTTAACGACACAAAGTTTCATTTCTACGTTTCACGAGAAAACAACTACAAAAGGTGCTTCCGAAGACACATTACATTCTGATACACGACACGAAAACACGACGTATTTAAATAATAATGCAACATTTTCAGACATATATTTTAATAACGAAAATGAAACTAACGTATATATGACGACATCGTGGGAGAAAAGATTGAGGGAAAACAGCACCGAGTTGGCAGACCACGTAACTAAGCCATACCTCAGTGAACCAATCAACTACAAGAACCAATCAAGCCCACTTTGGTTGAACTTTTCGGATGAAATAAGAACTCCTAGCCAAGAAAACTTAGAACAAAGCATGGCAACAAACCGGGACAACGAAACTACAGCAGACAACGGGTTTGGTAATAAGACAAACCATCACGTTATTTTTTTTCCTGCTGAATTAGGACACCTGTTCAACTCATCTTCAAAATATACAGGAAATTCTCCGATGACAAGCCTCCCAGGAAAGACGCCATCTAGTTATCCAGTTTACGTACCCGTTCACGTATCCTATGCGGGAAACGGAACAAGGAAACTGCGATATGGAATTATAAGAAACTAGCAACGCTATCAAACAGTGTAGACAGTTGTGATGTGCAGTGAAACGTTTTTAATCATCCGATGATTTTTTTTTTTGTTAGTGTCTTTAACATTATGCAAGACTTTTAAAAGCAAAGTAATTTGTAGCCTAAAGAGTTGGACTAAAAACAACAACTTATTTGTGTAGAAAATCAGATTTTGATAATAGAAAAGTTGGCAAGATTGTTTAAAAACTAGAATAGAAGTAATCAGTACGTTGTTATTGTTTTAGCACAAAGATATACACAATGGGCTCTCTGCGATTAACCCACCGCGAGGAACCGAACTTCTTAACAACAACTTAACTTAAATTGAATTCCTTCACTGGTTCTTATTCGTACTAACAAACATGTAATAAAAATACAGAAAATTTTGCTCTATTCTTTGCTCGTTTCCCAAGAATGAGCTTGATTACTTTTCAGAAGCCCCCCAGTGGCACAGCGGTATGTCTGGGGGACTTACAACGCTATAATTTGGGTTTCGATACCCGTGATGGGCAGAGCACATATAGCCCATTGTGTAGCGTTGTGCTTAATTATAAACAAACTTTTCAGAAATCCAGGATACAAACAAGCCAACAACTAAATAACAGATTTTTTTTTATTAACAGCAACGGTTTTGTAGACTAGTGCTAACCAACTTGGAATTTATGTATAAAATCTAAAACATGTCAAATATTCTAGAAGTACTATGTTTATCTTTTGATGGGTACATATCGGGCAACATATTGCGGTAAAAAACAACGTCTTATAGAATGGGCGAATAGAGTGTTTAGTCTAATATTAGTATTTTTTTTTTAACAAGTGCTTCTGTTACATTGATACACTGACCACTGTCTTAAAGTGGTCTTTTTGATTCTGTGTTTTGATTATACTGAAATTAACTTTTTTTTTGCTTTAACCAAGAAAAGGACACTGTAAAGTTCGGTGCTTTTTTGTTCTTGTTGAACCAATCTATTTACCTTTTTTGTTAAAACTAAACTTGAGTAAATTATATTGTAGAAACTGAGTACAAACTCGTTTACTGAAAGGAAAATAAAGATATTTGATAGCGTCTAGTACTTGTACCTAAATCTTACTAGCTTTCTAATGACATTTTAAACCGTTTCAACTGGAATTGAAATTTTCAACCGGGACACTCATTTTGGGCTCAGGTACAGCCATCTTTAAATTTGAACAAAAAACCAGAGGGAAGGGAAACAGCCAGCGCCACCAACCGTCACGAGGATCTACTCCGACTTCTTGAACCGAATAACGGGATTGACTGTCATTTTTATAAAGCCCCTCACAGCTAAAAGTGTTGAACTGTATCACGTCTTGACTCCCTGACATTTATATCCACAGCCCTACACGCTAACCACTAGATTACTTCCGAACATATTGTTTTAAAACGCTTGTGTTTTATATTTATGAGTCTACACCTTTCAGTGTGCGATAGAAAACATAATAGTACTGAAAAGTAAAATTTCATAACATATTAATATGGTACATGACTGACATTTGTTTTTGCAAATGTTGATTTACGTTGATAAAAAAAGAAATGGCTAATTTAACCAGAACCTAAACTAATCAATCCCACATGTGTTTTAGAAAAGTTTTATGAATAATAAATTACTGTCATAAACCGTATTTTTTAATGAGTTGCTAGAAAACTTCCATACGAATGATTTATAGTCACATAAATTATGGTATTTATAAATATTCTCTTAGTTTCAGGTTTAAAAAAGGTTGGTTGAAGAAATATCATTTAGGTTTATTTTAAGATTACTGATATATTGCTAAAATTTAAACAATACGAATCTTACAAACGTGCAAAAGCTGGCGAAATATTAGAAAACCAATAGACCTAACAATGTGGAATATCAATAAATAAATAAAAAATCTGCAGCTAACGTGTTTTGATAACATGTTTTAGGCCTATTGGTTTTCCAATATTTCGCTGGCTTTCGGGGTTTAGACCATAGCTTTTAAAGTATTATATATATATAAATAGCGATTCATAGAATCTTTTGTCTTTCATCGTTCAGCCCAGCTGAAGAGTTCTGGTAGTAAGCAAAACAGCTTTCTGGGCAGTGACTCTGGGAAGATACATCTGAAATGCTATTTTTAAACACACCTCTTATCTTTAACCACATTGGACAAAGTAAGATGAATGTGCAAAGAAAGACATCTACAGTCACCCCTTATTTTAGCAGTGGCTCATAAGAACGGCTCTGAGTTGTGTGTTGTTGTTGTTGTTTTTTTTTTCAAGTACAAACTTTTAACTCATAGTTCCGCCATCTCTTGGCCGATTTGTGATTTAATTAAATTTTTGGACTCAGGAGGTCAAACCCTTTAGATTGATGTATTTGACATCGCCCAAGGTCTCATAGATTAATTTACTCTAATCCTGCTTAAAATAATTGCCATTTAAGGGTAGGCTAGTAGACATTCTGATGAGTAATAAAATCAAATCGGGTATACGCGCGCCCCACGCTTGGTATTGCTAGCGCACAAAAATATAGCTGATAAAAAGGAAAAAAAGGTCTCATAGATAAATTTATTGTAATACGGCCTAAAAGAATGCCGCGACTAAAAAAAATAACGAATATTATTTAGTTATCTGACATTCATCCAGTTGCGTTGGGAGACAAACGGTCTGACTGAAATCCCTGTGTATCTGAATAGAATACGTCAGAAATGCAGAAAATAGTCATGTAATTAAACCGAAAGTATACTTACTGAAGACTTCTGCAAATAATTCCAAAGACAGAATAGTTTTTTTTTTGCCTTGTTTTCATTTGTTAAAGTCGTCACCACTCGGTTAACTATGATAATAACTAAAATGATATGTAGTTAACTTAATAATATCTATAACTAAAATTAAACTAATAACTAAAAGTAACTAAAACTAAAGATACAAATCCTTAACTATGACTACAAAACCGTTATATTTTGCCCCATCCTCAGTGACACATCGATATGTCTGCGGACCTACAACGCTAGAAACCGGGTTTCGATACCTGTGGCGGGCAGAATACAGATAGCCCATTGTGTAGCTTTGTGCTTAACTTCCAACAAATTATCATTACATTTCAGTTGTACTTAACCATCTTAACTGACTAAAAGAAGTAATTTGTTCATCCCAAACTGTATGGTGTGAATAAAATAATGTTTCGTATCTGCTTGTTTGTTAATTTCCCTTAGAAATTTTTTCCGAGAAACTTCAGCGATACAAGTCCTTTCTTAATTAAAACAAGTTTATTCTTTCTCGATACAACTTTGCAATAAACAAAATTTCCACAGTCACTTTAACTTCACTACTTTTATAAACACACGCTATAATTCACAGCGATTCACACACTTTACTTACGGTGCCTACTGTTCGCTTGACTCAGTTATTAGTTATTTCTCTTCAATCTATCTCCGGCTTATATACTAAAAAGAGGGCGTCTAGCAAACGCTGGGACATTCTTGAGGTTGTCCGATAAGTCACGATCCTTCTAGAAACTCCAGCGCGCATGCTCCCAGCGTCACGTGACTTCCGCTGTCGTAACAATAATAATTCATTTAGTTTAAGGCAGCTTTATAAAACATCCAGTGTTTGAACGTATCGTGTTTATGATATCTCGTCGATATTTTTAGGCATAACATCAAAATAAACTCATGTGCGATAAAACGATAAAAGAAAAAACGGTTTTTCTAGTTCAATTATTCTTCATTCTGGAATTTTTTATATATGCTGACAAAACATTTATTTTGTAAATTATGTCTATTGTAAAATTTCATAATTAGTCTCGAAACAAATATGTTTATAACATTTTAAAATTACTCTGAAATTAAAGTTCTTTTAAATCATAAAATAATTAATGATTCCCTATTTCTTTTATTTAAGGTTATCAGTGGGCCAGCGGTAAGATAACAGATTTACAACAGTAAAATCCGAGGCTCGATTCCCCGCAGGAGACACAGTAGATAGCCCAATGTGACTTTACTCCAAAACGAACAAATGTTAAATGTCTCAAGGCTATCAAGACATATAAGAACAAACGAAGTCTTATTCAAAAATATGCATCTTTCACCATAGGCTTTTTTTATTTTTATAATTTTTTATAAACTAAATTCACAGAAATAATAATATTCCTTTCTTAAAGACTTGGATATAACTATATTTTCTTGTAAAGTAATAAAATTTAATTTTTCTCTTAGAGATTTATAGTAACAGGGAGGGTTTGGCCGAGCAATAGCGTTGAGTACACTGCCACGTTTTATGATCTCTCAAAAACAAATGTCTAAAAGACTGCCCCCCCCCCCAGTAGCACAGCGGTATTTCTGCGGACTTACAACGCTAGAATCCGGGGTTCGATACCCGTATTGGGCAGAGCACAGATAGCCCATTGTGTAGCTTTGTGCTTAGCTTCAAAAACAAAACAAACAAACTAAGAGACTGTAAAGAAAAAATATATGCCCTTTATCAATGTTATTTGTAAAGGAAGCGTTAAGGAGAAGGGGAGGGATCAGCAGTAAACGCAAGATACAGCCAAAAACTAGCTCAGGGTTAGAGTACCATCTTTGGTGTGTTTTATGTAGGACTGTTTTACAGAACGCTGATTCACCTATTAGTGTAATATTTCGACCTGGCCAGTAAGGATGACTCCACTGTCTTCGAAGGACGAAAGCTAAGAATTAATGGTGTTCATATAATTTGGTCTTTTATTCGGTAGTTATTTTAAACATTTATATAAAGATATAACGTGTTTTATGTTGTTATAAGCTATATTTTTAATGTTATAATTTAGTTGTTTGCTAGACAGCTGCTGATCATGACGATGATGATGCAAAACCTATAATGTTAATAAACAAAAAGCTTCGTCTAATATCGAGAGACAAAAGCACATTTATACATACGAGTAAGGAGTTAGTGAAGTTCAGTAGTATTTAATGAGTTTTTCAGTTAGACAGTCTATTCATTCACTCTATCGATTAGCAAGAAAATTCTGCAACTAAGTTTTGTATTTGTAAATTTGACATAGATAACATTCGAATTGCGGTTTCTGTTGAAAGTGAAAATGTTGTTCGTGAACTTAGGCCTAGGTAGCAAACGTTATGGAAGAAACAAAATGATTTGTTATTGTTACGTGGACTGGACTTTGCATTATTTTCACCAAATAATTCAATAGAACCAGCCCAACGATAGAACACTTTATAACCATGATCTCAAAAGTGGGATTATTTTGCAGAAAATAAAATAGAACTTTGAGTAAACTTCGACTATCAAAATGATCACACAAAGCTAGAGATGGTGAAACGACGAAAAGAAGACCTAGAAGAAAGAAACAGGAATTTATGAGAGGAGTTGTTTTGTTTTTTTAAAACAGACGTACAATTTAAATGATAATTAAAAACAAAATAAATCTGATTAAAAACAGTATTCATGAAACTATTAGAGGTGTACAGAAGGATTGAAACAATAAGATTTAAGAGGTACAGAAAGACATCAAAGAATTACAGAGAGACTGTAATTACAAAATCCAGCCACACCTCTTTATGCATTTGCTCAAGAACTCCAACCTAAAGCAACATCTACTACAAAATATGGAATAGGAGAACTCATTTTGTCTGCACCTATTGCCAATACTGCTGTACTATCTGTCACTGCAGGACCTTCCTGGACTACTCCAGCTATGTCACTTCCAAATCCATTTCCAAAAGTTAGTTGGCCAATTCAGAAATATTACCCAATTGAGAAACCAACAGATTTTGATGGTAAGGTATCATAGGACTTATATGAAGCTCAGATCATAATAATTTCCAGAGTGAACAGATGAAATAGCTAAAAACAAGCTATTCAACTAGCTGCCCATTTAAGAGGAACAACTTTAACTATATTAAGTAACCTTCCAACAAAGAACCAAAATAACTTATCAAGCTTTGGAAGCTGCCTCATCTAACAGGTTTGAAGTGAAACTCTAGAAGGAAATATCCAGAGCAAAGTTACAGAACAGGATATAAAGGATAGAAGAGACCTTAGCTGAACTCGCAGAGATTTGGTTTGTTTGTTTGTAATTAAGCACAAA